AAAAAAAAATCAAACACATTTGGAATCTGAAATCAAGCCACACACAAAAGAAACTAAGAACAATGGATGGGAAGCTCCGATGAACGTGACTTCACCCTGTTGTATAATGTTCTACTTCAGTGATAGACAGCCTGAATTTTCCCTTTTCTTTTTGGGATAAGGGAAGTCTGATTTTTGAGCTTCATCACTTAAAAACTTTAAATCATCTTTCCTCATTCTCCCAAGATTACATGCCTATGTTGTCACTGAGGCTGGGGGCCACATCTTATGTCATTGTAGCACTCATCTAATAAGGCCATCTGTCATTTGTCTGGTTAGTCTCAGTATCCCCAATTCCTGGCTCCTCCTAGAAACCTCAAGAAGAACAAGACAAAAGGCTTCAGCTTCCAACATGTGACTTAGTTTCCTGGCATCACAGATCACTGTGATGGGCCAGCTTTACTACAGACAGCCACCAAAACTCAGCAGAGAGGGAACACTGTGGGTTGCCAAGAAGAATCTGGCACCTGGTCTATAGGACACACAAAAGCAGCAACCACGAGAGTGGGTCCTTGCAGGTTGAGAGGTAGGTTTCCAGCATTTTCAAGTCAGATGGACTTTTAAAGAAATATCAAGTTTATCTCCATTTTATAGAGCTAAGGAAACCAAACAGAAGGTATAATCATGAACTCAAGCTCACCCAGTGAGTTGTGGGGAAGCTGGGCCACAACTTGCCTCCACATGCCCAGGGCACTAGGCCTTACCAGCCTCCTCTGGTCAGAAGCCACTCAACAGTCATCAGCAAGCAGTCACTTTGGTGCTCCCAGTGCACAAAAACTCTAGAGGGAAAAATAAGCAGTACAATCCAGGATAAAAGGGCAAACTGGAACTAGGTAAGTAACTTGTCCAAGTAGAACTCTTGACTTGAAGGTGGGTAGAGTACAGAAAAAAGGACAATCTGCCAGGGTCTCAGCATCTCTCTTCTGAGTCAAAAAGATGGAAGTAACAACAAATCCCATCAAAATGGACAACTATAATACACTGATAAACATATTTGGGAAAAAAATGGGAAATTAGAACCAGAGGAAGAACACTGATCCTATAGGTAGGATTTTCAGTCAGGTGAGGTCCCTCTGGGGAACTACAAAGGAGAAAGGATCCCAAGAGAAAAATCGCCTCCATATGCATCAGAAACAGCAAGAGTCAAAGGGAAACATCCCAGTGGACCACACAGCACTCAAAAGAAGAACAGGCAGGGATGGAAAAACAGATCTGGGAATCAACTATCCAGGTTGGGCACAGTGGCTCATACCTATAATTCCAGTGACTGGGGAGGCTGAGGCAGGAGGATCACAAGTAAGAGGCCAGCCATGGTAACTTAGCAAGACCCTCAGCAACTCAGCAAGACCCTGTCTCAAAATAAAAAAATTAAAAGGAGCCTGGGGATGTAGCTCATTGGTGCAGTGTCCTTGGATTCAATCCCCAGTACCAAAAAGAAAAGGTTCCCAACCTATGAAATTTATGATTTTACACAGCATCTAGTTAAGGAGTCTGAAAAACTGAGACTAAGAAAAGGTGCTACAGTCAGTTGTAAAATGGCAACGTAGTAGTAAAAAGGGGAAATGAGCTAATGCATGTTTAGAATAAATCTAACAACAGAGATAAAGGAGGGAAACTCTTAAATCTGCCAAAGAAGGAGGTCAGCACACCTGAGAAGTCAGCTTGAGCTAATTCAGAAAAGCAGGAAGCACACTCAAGGGCCTGAGTCACCCTATTTCAATGGATAAACTGAAGCTCCGAGCAGCTCCAATTCTTCACCCGCATTGTGCAAACTGAAATGCAATTTTGAAACTAAGGCAGATCTTATACACGCATCCCATCTGCCATTCTATTTTAATCTGGGAACACAAAAGCACGCATACAGGCAAAGGAGTTCATAATTACTGATGCCTGATTTAAGAAAAGCAACTGGAGAACAGGAGGAGCTCTATCCCTCTGAAGACAGTCCAGTGTGAAGGGCCACCATGCCTATCTACTGAAGTTTTATTTCATATGGCTGAGATAATAATAATGGAGCAATGGTATTTAGTCAAGTAAAATAGGATCTTGAAAGCTCTCTCATGGGCTGTAAGTTGGTTAGAGCTGAATCAGCCCCATGCAGTTAGTAAAACCAGTTTGTTAATGTGTCTTCCACCACACACCATGATTAAGAAATAGGGAAAGAGCACAGCAAACAAATTCAGTTACCCATGAACAACGTGGGAAATATGACTTTTTCTTGCCTAATAAAAAAAAAGGAAAAAACATTAAATAGTAATACAAATACTATTTTCACATTGTGCCCTAAAATTAGTCTATGCCCACCTACATGAAGCCAAAAAGAAAAGAGACTGGTTTGCAAAAATAGAGTAAGTGATATATAGGAAACTAAATCAAATCTATGGAGAAAAAAGTTTTGGAGCAAATTCAACTTACTATATCACATACAAAATTTGTATCCTTTTAGATGGGGACATGAAGGACTTTAAGGTGGGGGTGGGAAGAACCAGCACAAGAAGGCAGAGCAGCCTGCATTTGAAGAACTGGCAGAGAGATCCCAGACTAGGTAAAATCTTGATTCCAAAAAATCCTCAACCAGGGTTTACAAAATACAATGTACCCAGTTCAGGGATAGTTTCATGTGGTAAGGCGTCATTGCATCTGCTACAAGGGGTGAGAAGGTGAGGTGAACCTAATCACCCCACCATACAAACTTACAAATAACTCCTCCCCAAAAAACCCTCCTACAGGTCTCAAGGATAACTGGTGAACTACAACGATCACTACAGCCTCCTCAGGGGCAGGCAAATTCTGGAGCCTAGAGCTTTTTAAAAAAGGAGCCTGTTCAAGATGATGAAACTATAAACCATACTTCTACACTTCTATAAAGATTAATTTCCCTTTTTTTTTTCTACTCTGCCAGATTTACTAATGAATCTGGGAATTGAGATATTTCCCTCCTTTCCTTTTGCAGCAGGTACATGCCATCTTGGTTTTTGTGTGTCCATAAGGTCAGCAGAAGAAAGACTGGAGATAAAAAGGTAGGCAGCCTCAGCAACTTAACAAGGGCCTAAGCAATTCAGTGAGACCCTGTCTCTAAAAAAAACACAAAAAAAGGCTGGGGATATGGCCAAAGCAGAGCATTAATGAAGTGAAAACACAGCAAACCCACAGATCACTCAAGCAACAGTCGGTTAGTATTGCAGTGTACATATACAATCCATTTGTCAACTAATCCCAACACTTGATTGAATAAGGGCCAGCCCTCAAAAGCATTTCTCTTTTGGTAGAAATAATACAATATAAAATTCATATAATTTAAAACCAAAACCAAGTACACCACCTGGAACTAGTTCTATTGGGAAACACCTTTCCCAGCTCAGTCCAGGAAACAATGCCTACACTGCATCTAGCCTGCTTCCTGGGGGCGGGGGCTCCAGCAGAGAGCCCAAGGTCACTCCAGCTTTCAGCCTACTTTGGATCCCCTACATTTCCCCAAGAATAGGTTCATCTCTGCATAATCGCTCCTCTATGACCAGAGGCAAATGAAAGGCAGGAGCAATGAGCCTGAACAGATCCTGTTATCCCTCCCTCCCTGTTGTGACCATCCTGAGGCACTCCACACACAAAGGCACCGTCCAACCAATCCAGTTCTGGGTCTTTCCTGTTCTCCTGTCACAAGATACCTGAGGCCCATCAAAATATATGCTTCCAGACAGAGATTAACAACTACTCTACTGGAGGTAATTAGAAGTTGCAGGAGAAAATAATTAGATCTTATTTCCAATGCTCTTGAAGACTTTGCTTAAACTTTCTCCTTATCAATTGAGGGAAATGGTTACTCTCATGTGAAATAAATAAATAAATATTCCATGTATCATTCATTATAGTATAAACACCGGGTTAACTCCCCAAGTTTTCCTTAAACTCCTAAACCTCAGAAAAATTAATTTTATACTTACCCCACCAAAGAAACTACAAGAGTTAGAACAGAGTTCTGATTTATATATTGATATTTTTCAATATATTTTTAAAAGAATATCTAAGAAATGTATATACTTCAGGGCAGAATTCTCTTAAGGCACAGAGACAAAACAACACTACTATGGATAGTAAGGATGAAAAATAAGATCCTTTTAAAAATAGATTGTGTATCAAACTGGTCCTCTGTAAACATTCTGTAATTATTGAGGATAGCAGAAAAACATAAGCTCTTTAAGAAATTGTGAAAATTTCTAGAGTTGTGCCTGCATTTCTTCCACCCAAAAAAAAAAAACAAGGAAGAACTGTCTTCAGGACTCAAAGCAGAGACAATGGCAAGGGATCATGGGTATCTCAGCTGCTTGTTACAGTAACAGCTACCTAAAGTAACATGGTCAGCATTCCTAGGCCACAGGCCCTAACTGGTTTCCCATATTAAGGCATGCTGGTAACAGAAGGATAGTCATGCAATGTTTTTTTAAAAATCAGGTAGAACAATATGTAATGACATGGAAAGATACAGGCAATGTAAGTCATGATAAAAATGATACAGAGCAACATTTAAAGTACAATCCTGAGTGTTGCAAAAAGCTTACAGCAGATGCATAAAAATGATTTTACATGCCTAAGAATAACTCTAAAGAATGCAAAAAATATAGTATAGCAGAAAATAGCACTTTTAAGTTCACAAACTTATATACCAACTGAATTATTTTATTAAGAATATACCTCTGCCTTCAATCTTATGACAATTTTTTTTTAAATCCTCCCAAAAAAGGTCTCCACTTTATACAGAAGTTGTATCTCCTAAAATGAATTTGATCCAGTGTCTAATAATTCTGGATTTTATATTTTTCTAAAATTTTCAGATAAGGGATTTTCTCAAGAATTTTGGATATATTCATTTCTATCCTGTAAAAAGATTCACCGAGTGAGTCATAGGCCATAAAACGTGGAGAACTGGGACCACAGCTAGCCCTACTGAATCACCCAAGCCCAGCACTGCTGCCTTCAAGGGTCTGCTCCCAGAACAGAAGCTGCACACTCCAGCCACCGGAGGCACAGACTCCACAGAGACCAGAAGACGACAACAGATTTCTGTCTTCCAGAATTTGAATGAGAATTGGCTTTGGGTTTATCAAACTGAGTGTATGTTCTCAAGACTCATAATCTGTTGACTTTTTCTGAAACATTACTACTCCAAAACTGATCACTTAAAAAATCCAGGACTTACCCTTTGTCAAAGAAAGACGTGTGCCCTGATCGAGAGAACTTTGTGCCACTGCTATTCATCACTCCACAGTTCACATTCCCTGAAATATAGGATTTTCGTGATGCTTGGTCCTTTGCAAAATTCCTGCAAGCTGCTAATTTGGATTCTAAAGCCTATGAAAGGAAGAAAGAATGATTTGGTTGTCAAAACAGGAGATGTAGAGAAAATTTTGCATTTCAAACTATATCTATTTCAAGCTTCAGCCTTTGCTCTTCTGGTTGATAATGGTGGTTTAGTTAAGCCATGATCGATTCCTGTCAGTCTTATTGAGGGATACAGACACAATTCTCACCTGACAACTAAGAAAAATGTGGCACAGTAGGTACAGACAGATCCCAGGTCTCTTGACCCCATCCATTATCTGTATTGGTTGGAGTGAGATTCGTGTGTGTTGGGAGCAAGCACTATAAAGAATCCAAAAACATAACTTGAGAATGTTTTTAATGCAGCCAATTCTTTGTATAGGTTCTTCTGTCTAGTTTTTCCAATGCATCAGAATGGATACAAAAGCATTTACAACAACCTCAGAGGAAAATAGAAGTCATTTTATTTCTGAGAGCACATTGTTTAACTGATACTCTTTGTCTATAATTTAATAAGTCACCTGAAAATAATACTGGCCCTTTACCATTTACTTCTAAATTGAGTATTTTTACTTTGCACCTGTCATAACACCTAGCAAGTGTCAGGCTCTACCAACTAACAAACTACATGACGATAATTAAAGTTTCTCATCTATTTCCACATATGCAGATATCACCAACTTCCTCCTTCCCATCAACACTCTGATCAAAAATCAAATACCACTCCCCAAAAAGGAAAATACAATCCATGGCCAAAACAAAAGGGACAAAATATACAGTCCATTCCTGTCACCCATGACACTAAAAGAACAGAAATGCACAGATAAATTAAATCCGAAGATAACATATACTTCACTTTGAGATTCCACTTGGATATCCTACTCCTAAAATTTCAATAAGACTGCTTAGAAAACAGCAGTAAAAACTTCCTGAAAATTTTTTTCTCCTCCCTCCTTCCTATGACAAAAAGTATAATGAGCTAGTAAAATAATGACAGAAAGGAGAAGAGAGGTAAATGACATTATAAGATAAGCTGAGTGAAAATCATTTACTGACTTGTAAATATACACATCCACAGTAGACACTGAAAGTCATGAATTCCCTATATTCAGTGAACACACTTGTCTATTCATTCAAATTATTTTCTGAGCATCTGCCACATGGAAGGCACAAATTTTGTTTGAGGCATCAGTGACACACACAAGCGCAAGCACTTGGGTCTTTTCAAGGGAAAAGGATAATCTAGAGGCTAAGATTCAGATATCATCCACACCCAGCGATGAATAAATTCATGGTTTGAATTATAAAATCAGAAAATCAAGGATGGAACTCTTAGCAGAACCAGAAAGGGCAGGCAAAGACCCAACAAGATGACTAAGAAAACTGGGCAAAAAGGTGTGAGCAGCCATTAAACAATGTCAGGGAAGCAGAGGAAAGAGGACATTTCAGGGAGAAAAAAAAGCAGGTCAGCATTGAATGTTTCAAACAAAATTAGAACAGCACACACTGGCTTGACAGCACTGAGATCACCAGTGTGCAGGTTTAGTGGATTGAGCAGGGAACAGAGCCCAGACCAGAATGTCTAGGGAGTTCGTGCGTGGTCAAAATGCTAACAATAAACATAGACAGGCTTTCAAAAGGCTTGGCTGTGAAGTGAAGAGAGAAGGGTGATGGCTAAAGAGACATGCAGTGTAAAAGGAATGAAGAGCTGCTTTATTTTTGCTTTTAAAGATTAAAAAAATAAATTATGTAAGGGGCTGAGAGTGAAGGTCAATGGTAGGGTATGTGCTTAGCATACACAAGGCCCTGGGTTCAACTGCTAGCACCAAAAAAAAAGTAATACGTGATACATAAACATTACACATAAAGATTATAGTATGTGTATAATACATATCACGGAATATACAAATATTACATATGGAAAAGTAAAGGTTAAAAAGGTTGAAAAGAATGGAATCCAAAGCACAGATGGATAATGCTAGCCACTGGCAGCAATATGACACTTTTACCACTGAGACAAAAAGGAAGAATGGCTACAGAGGTAATGCAAGGAGGGAAATAACAGAAGGCAAGAGAAGAAATTAAGTAAGTTTAAATCAGATGGCCTTGATTTTCTCTGTGAAGAGATAGTGGATAACAGGAATGGAGTGTTAGCCTATAAGAGTGGGGATAGCACAAATGAAATATGCATGAAAGCACACAGGGACTGGTGGATAACTGCACACCAAAAGTTTTAGTGATAACTTAGAAGACAGACTGTTGGCTAAATGGGTAAACCATGTAAAGACTCCAAATTAAACTTTCATCACCACTTCTGAATAAATTATATGAAAGCAAAACAAAAAAGGAACAAAGAAAATTAACCACTTCTGAATAAATTACATAAAAGCAAATCAAAAAAGGAACAAAGAAAATTAATTCAAGTGGCAGGTAGAACCAACCAAGAGTATGATGGAGACAAAATCTAGGGTGACAGTGGCACAACAGCACTAGAAGTACATCAAGGCATTCAGCAGAGTGTGAATGAGAAGCTGGAAGATACAGAGATATCACAAAGAAAGCATGTTTCTTCAACCACAAAATAGAAAGGTAATTCTAAGTGCTAGGAAAAGAAAAGTTGGCATACATGTCAGCTAAGATACAAATATGCTATGATTTTGAGTAAACAATAAATAAAATGTTTGAAACATCTGTTGAGTGGCAAAATACCAGGGGCCCAACTCCTCCTCTATGATTATGCAGTAAATGTCATACATGGACATCAGAATGTAAAGTCTACTTGACTACTTTTTAATTTTCAGAACCAAGAGAGAGCTCAAGAAGGGGAAGTAGAGCAGGAAGGGAGAGGAGGAGAGATTAGGGAGTTGAGATAGAGTCTAGTAATTCCAAAACAGAGGCTTAAAAAGTTATTTAGGGTTGAGGATGTACCTCAGTAGTACGGCATGTGTTTACTATGTATGTCACCCTGGGTTTGATCCCCAGCACCATATTGAAAAAAAAAACTGGGTATGGTGGGCACACGCCTGTAATCCCAGCAGTCTGGGAGACTGAGACAGGAGGATCTCAAGTTCAAAGTCAGCCTCAGCAATGGCAAGGCACCAAGCAACTCAGTGAGACCCTGTCTCTAAATAAAATACAAAATAGGGCTGGGGATATGGCTCAGTGGCCAAGTGCCCCCTGAGTTCAATCCCCCCCACCTCAAAAAAAAAAAAAGAGAGAGAGTTATATAATAACAGATGAACAAAAAATAAAAATGAAATGGGAGGTGGTAGGTTAAATTATTTTGTTGTTGTTGTTTCAAGGTGATTAAATCAAGATGAAGACAAATCATTTTAAGCTATAAGGGTGTACACAACTCTTATGAAAAGTAGAGTTAAAACATGGTCATCTTGGCATCTTTGGAATGAAGAAAGATTAATCTAGGGCTGGGATTGTAGCTTAGTGGTAGAATACTTGCCTAGCACAGATGAGGCAATGGGTTTGATCCTCATCACCACATTGAAATAAAGAAATAAAATAAAGGTATTGTGTCCATCTGTAACTAAAAAAACTTTTTTTAAAAGATTAATCTATGTATTACATGAATGATTCATGCACATTACTCTTTATTGTAATAACTTTAAAATGAGAGAAAATCAGACAGTTTGAAATTTATTCATTTTTTGAGTCAAAAAAGGCAAACATCGGACATTGTGTGTTGGCCTCCTATTTCTTCTTTAAAGTATAATGCAATTTCTAATTTTTCCAGAAAATTTTTTACACAAAAATAAGTGAAGGGGTGGTGTGGATGGTTGAAGTTTTAAGAGTTGGTTACTGAAAATAAGTGATAAAAGTCACTGAGAGAAATGAAAAAGAAAGCTAATGCTAGAAATCGGAATGTTATAGTAATGACATCAATCCACATGGTCCTATAACTGTTTCCAGTAATCCAACTGTTTAGTTGTTCCAGATTGCAGCCCTTTACGATCAAAGAGAACAAGAAGTCAACAGCCACAGAATAAGTGAACTGTGTCATAACAGAGGAGTAGAAAGAAAAGGAAAGCAAGAGATGGCTGATAAAGACAAATACAACAATACATAAACAAATCAGTACTCCTGGTAAAATCAAATGGTAGGCGTTAAACAGAATAAAAATTAAAAAAACAAATAAGAAGCTAGACATGCCAGCACACACCCGCAGTCCCAGCTACTGGGGAGGCTGAAGCAGAGGATCATTTGAGCCCTGGAATTTAATGCCTGAACATCATAGCAAGAATGCCTCAAAACACAGACAACTGATTAAGCAGAAAAACTAGTTTAATATTTCAAAAACCAAACTGTTATGGAACACAAGGTTAGAGCTAAAGAGAATGGACTAAAGTTAAGGTGGTCCCAAGAGCAATAAGATAGAAACAAAGAGTAGTAATGCCACAAGCCAAATGTCATCCCACAAAATAAATAAGGGAATGACCAGGAAAACGGAAGACAGGGATTAGAAGGTGGTCAAAGACACTTAGAGGCTTCACAGTAAGTATCTTAAACAGAGACAGAGATGTCATGCTATAAACACAGCAGTAGGGAACTCGAAAATCACCCAGTGGTAACCTCAAATCTCAGGCCCTTCTGCAGAGGCACCAAAAGCCCAGCACTGGTCTCTACTAGTCACTGGATGCCTTTGCTTCTCAACTTTATTGTTACAGATTTTTTACCACACGAAAAGTATCCTTTTATTCCTCCTTCACTTCCAATTAAGAAACAACTCAATCCTACCACACAATGGCAACACCTAGTGATAAAATAATTAAATGCTTACCCCTACTTTCCGTAAGAGATCCCCCACGATGTTTAGTGCTGATATCCTAGCAGAAGGAGTTAGTGGACTGGTTCCAAAACCATTTGGTATAGCTAAAGAAAAAGAGAGTGATGACATTAGCAATTCCCTTTACATTTGGGTTTTGTTGTTGCAACAACAAGAGTACAGGCTCCAAAGAAAATCAATATACTATTTCAAACTAACCCTTTCTCTTATGTACATGTATCTCTGAGTGTAACATTTATCTTTTAAACTTTATTTTGGCCAGGGACAGGAGAAACCTTTGGCTTCCCCATCTCAGTGATCTAAAAACTATTCCCCATATTTTCCCTCAGTAGTTTTCTAAATCTTTTTTTAACATTTAGATCATTTGAAGGTTAGGGGGATGGTTCAGTGGAGAGTACTGTAGCATGCCAAGGCCCTGGGTTTTAATCCCCAGCACAGCGGGCAGGAGGAACCTAGATCATTCAAAGCACCTGTAATTTATGGTTGCCTGAGACATAATGTAGA